ACTTGCTATATTATGAACATTTTCTCTGTCACTATGTTTTCTTCCAAAAATGGATGTTATTGGCTGCAAAATAGTCCTTTATTTGAATGTACCATGATTATTTAACCATTTTTTTCCTTAATACTCAGGCATTTAGATGATTTTCATCTTTTACTACTACAGATAACTTTTCCCTCTGATTATTTTCATAAGTAACTGTCCAATCACACTATTGCCTTGGGCTATATTCCTAAATATAGCATCAAATATTTGTTTCTACTCAATTGTATGGCTGACTTTCATAAAAGCTTTAAGAATGCCCTAAACTACAGTACCTTGGTAAAAGAGTTCAAAGCGCCATAAGAAAGCCACAGAGATGTTTTAAAAACTGACAGAGCATGAAATCAGAGGTAAATCTGGCAGAGCAAATAGATGCTGGGTACACTAGCTGGATGTGAACCACAGACACAAAGGTCCAGTAACTCACTGTGTAGACAGCATCCAAAAACAGGGCTGGTCAGGTAATTTTTTAAAAAAGAAAAATGAGTGCAACTACAAAATTGACAAGCTCTAAACACACAAAATTTCATAATTGGATTTGGGAATTCTCATTTTCACAGAGCCACAAAAGCCACGCTAAAAGACAGAATAATTTTGAGCCTATATGATATTTTGCAGAAAATAAATGTATAGGATTGGTTAAACAGAAACAGAAGGGTGTAGGCTCAAAGCTGGGGCTGTAGCTCAGTGGCAGAGTGCTTGCCTACCATGTGTGAAGCACTGGGTTCAATCCTCAGCACCACATAAAAATTAAATAAAGGTATGCTGTCCATCTACAACTACCAAAAAAAAAAAAAGTCTCACTGACATGAGACAAATGGTTCCCCTGAGGAACCATTAAAGTTTAAGGAAACTTTAATATCATTACATTTAATATTCATTAATAACTGTAAGAATTTATTCATTCATAAAACTATCCACCATTGGTAATAGCTTGCTCAACAATAATTCTTATAACTTTTATTTATTTTATTTTTAAAATAGACACATTTATTCAACATCATAATTAGACTATTACATTTAGCAATCAACAGTATGGGTGCAAAAAAAAAATGAAGTCTACATTAAAACCTTTTGTTGGAATACAACACTTTCCACAGAACAGAAACTGAAATAACCTGCTATACAATTAGTTACAAATACAGTCCTCGAGTTTTTTGCCCATACACATGAGCATTGTCTAACTCATGTCTTCTTTGTAGCACAGAATCCCAGACACCACTATGCTTGTCTGATTTCACAAATTTGTTGTAACCTATATCTTCCCTGTCATTTACCAGGCTCTTCTCTCTTGCTAATCTTTGTTTCCTAGCAGTATTAAAACCTTCTGCCACTGCCACAGCTACTGCTGCTGCTGGAATTTGCATAGCCACGTTGGTTTTGTAATTTAGCAAAGTATTGGCCTCCACCACCATAAGGTCCAGAGTTTCTGCCTCCAAAGTTTCCACCCTTCTTGGGTCCAAAATTTTATGACTGTTGTAATTGTCAAAATCTTTGTTGCTTCCACCACTTCCAAAATTGCTTCCATCTTTACCAAATCCATTGTAGCCATTGCTGCTGCCACCATATCTACCATGACCACTAAAGTTTACTCCATAACCAGAATTATCATTTCCACCAAAACCACCTCCAAGACCACCACCAAAGTTTTCAGAACCACTTTGATCTCTTTGGCTAAACACTAGCCATGTCTTGCTTTGACAGGGCTTTCCTCACTTCACAGTTGTGGCCATTCACAGTATGGTATTTCTGAATGACAATCTCATCCACAGAGCCATGGTCATCAAAAGTTACTAAAGCAAAGTCCCGCTTCTTTCCTCTGCCTTGGTAAGTCATGATTTCAGAAACTTCTATTTTCCCAAGCTGTTCAAAAGAATGTGATGTTTTTCAGTGTCTTCTTTAATGCCACTAACAAAAAGATCTTTTTCACAGTTAAGTGGGCCCCAGTCTTTGGAAATCTCAAGACAGCTCTCTTTGGCTTTACAACTCTTTCATCACCTTGTGTGGTCCTACATTCATGGCTGCATGCACTTCCTCCACAGTGACAAACCCAAAGCCCCTGGAGCACTAGGTGTTTGGGTCTCATTACCACACAGTCCGTGAGTGTTCCCCATGGCTCAAAATGGCTTCTCAGTTCTCATTAGTTGTTTTGAAGCTCTGCCCTCTGATGAATAGCACCTGCAGCTGTTCAGGATCTTTAGGTGACTCTGATTTAGATATGAGACTTTAATGAGGCTTGTTGTCATCCCTGGGCAGAAAGGAGTAAGCTAACAAACATATCCCTAAAAGAATTTTAAAGAAGTAGTAAACACCACCTTCTTAGGTTTGAAATGTTAAATTTTCCTGAATATTCCAAATCAAAATACCATAGCTTCATTTCAAACTTGAATGCTCTTTTATGTCATGAAGAAGTCATCTGATTGGTTACTGTGTGCTGGACAATGTGCTAAGCACAGGAAATGCAAAGATGATGAAGATACTATAACTGTTTCTTGTAAGCCTCAAGTCAAATGAGACAGACTTATGGATACAATTAAAATGCATCATAAGTGCCAGAGTAAGTATATAAAATGCTGTGAAAGCAAAGAAAAATGAAAGCTACCTGAATGACTGAGGTATTGAAATTGATGTCTGAGCTGGTCTTCATAAACATGAATGTTCGCTACCTGGAAAGAACATTAAAATATTTAGGAAGAGAGAAAGAACAGCATAAATGATCTAGGAGCAAATATGCAAGAGTATGTGGGTTCAGACTTCTCAACTCATATCTGCTTGGAGAACAGAATTCATGAGGAGAGTGACAAGTGTTAGGACTGAAGAAATAGGCAGGTGCCAGGTTATGGAGTATCTTATATGCGTGTAAGAAATGGGGAGCCATTTAAGAATTTTAGGTCAGGGTGAATAACTAGGTAATTCCTAGAATAAATTCAAGGCCTAATTTTTCACTTTATTATGAAGTGGAAGAGGGGACAAGGAAAAGAAACAAGACTGCCTCAAAACAAAAAATAAAAATGACTGGGGATGTAACTCAGTGATAGAGAGCCCTAGGGTTCAATCATTAGTGGAAAAAAATAAAAATAAAAAAAGACAAGACAGGGCTTTGATCATGATTAAATAATATGATGAGATATGATGGGCCCTTTTTTTCAAAGTCAAGTACTTTGGTGTTGGGAAATGTGAAAGGACTAATAAAGGCAGGAGTTATAAAGACAATGATGAAGAAAACAAGATTTTCAAATATAGGAATCTGTAGGCTTTAGCTTTATTTAAAGAATATTAAGATTATAAAAATTACTTTATTTCAAAGGTTAAAATATAAAAACCACTTACATATAAAATTTAAGAGTATTGAAGCATCCAAACTTTTTAAGTTCTACTTTATAAATTTACTTAAACTTTATTGAGGCAACATTCATAGACATAAATATAAAGAATAGTAATCCTTAAGAGGATTAAAATACAGGGGGAAATAATACATTTTGCCATTGATAAAAAAGCACAGAACTATTTTGTGCAGTGCTGTGGACTCTTACAACCTTCTCCACTGCAAAGAGGACCATGCAGAGTCAATTCATGGTTATTGCCAGTGACTGGAGAAATGGCCACATGACCTATTCCTGACCAATACGACATTAGCAGACACAAGGAAAAGTTTACTGGGAGAACCTCTGAGAAAGAGTTCTTAAACTCTTTACAGAAAAAAAAAATGTTTTTCTTCCTTTGGTTGCTACCAGATCTGAATGGATCCATGGAGGAGCTAGAGACGTCGTACTATAAGCCCAGGAACAAAACTAACAATAAAGATGGCACAACAGAGAGAGGGAAAGGACCTGGATTCCTGATAGACTCTTCCCTACTTGAACTTGCTGTTGTATGGAATTGTCAATTTCCTTATTATCTAAGCCATTTGAATCATGGTTTCTCTGTTACTTGCAGCTCAAAGTCTCCCAACTGAAACACAAACAGCTGAGAAAAAATAAAAATTAACAAATGGTTATGATGTATTGGATGTTATCTAAAATTTTTCCTTTTGGAAAATCAATCTCATTTACAGTCATTTTAAAACTTCATTGGAAGTTTACATAATCCCTTAACCTCTGTATTGTTCAATACTTTGACACTCACATCTGACAATCTGTCCTCTCACAAATGATTGCTGACAAAGGCAAACAGAAGAGAAAAAGAGTAGCAGCTGAATCTATCTCTTTAAGGTGCAAATAGGTAGTTTCTATTTTACAGATGACTGCAAGGTTGTGGCAGGAAACTCTTCCCCATGGGAGCCCACAGAGATGGCACGTGAAGGAAAGAATGTGACAATCTTTTAACAGTCTTTAAAAATAAAAACAAGTTAACACTTTCTTAAAATGAATAATACATCCTTCACTTATTTGTCTCTTGGCCATATTAGGAACATTCATATACATTGGGGTTAGGGGTTAAAAGGGATTGAACTCAGGAGGCACTCGACCACTGAGCCACATCACCAGACCTATTTTGAATTTTATTTAGAGACAGGGTCTCACTGAGTTGCTTACTGCCTTGCTTTTGCTAAGGTTGGCTTTGAACTCGTGATCCTACTGCACACCTAAAGTTATAGGTGTGTGCCACCACACCTGGCTACATTTTTTAATAAACTTAAAAATAGTGCATGCAGTATGCTAAATATAGTGTTTGGCACATGGTATTATTAGCTATTATTATTAGCAGTGCTCTACTTAGAGATCAAAATACTATGCTAAATGTAGCATAGTGTCCCAGTGTCTCTGGAGCTCCCACTAGTTGATTTGTAATGAATCTTCTTGCTTCCTACAGTTTGAGCTTCGCTTTATTCATCAATGCACTTGATTTTTTGTTTGTTTTGGTTTTTGGCTCTGGGACTTGTGCATGCTAGGCAATGCTCTACTGAGCTACTACTGAACTATACTCCCAACCCTTATCAATTACACTTGAAATATTTAACCTCAGGCCTAGAACCAGCTTTTCTTTTTTATATGCAAGCAGCCACTTTAGCATTTCTTATCACAAAAAACCCATATGAGAAAGGTGGCAAGCCTAGGGAACTTCCTGGGCGGAGAGGTTTTTCTGTCAAAGCTGGCAGTGTTTGTGCATCCACCATCTTCAGAGTTTGACCATTGAGTTCAACAGTTCTGCAAAGAGGAAAGATATACCTGAGTTACCCAAGCTGTGCATGCCCTGTAACCCCCTTCAAAACCTGTGCAATCTTTTTTAGACAATTTTTTTTTGTTTGTGGCAGCTTATGTTATATAACTTGTATTTCAACACTATGTCAGTGAGGTGTGATCCATCTTTTAATCACAGTGGTAGAGAAGAGTAGTTGGAACAAAGACCATATGACTTATAAAGCCTGAAATGCCATCTGTCCCTTTCCAGAAAATGAAACATACAAATCTATACTAGGCAATATAATGGAGGGATAAAAGAAAAAATATGACATCATTTCTGGAGTTGTGGCAATTGTATCTGATGGAAAATAATTTATATATTTATATATATATATATATATATATATATATGTGTGTGTGTGTGTGTGTGTGTATACTTTACATATGTATACATATATGATATTTCTTATATATACATATGTATATATTTACATACACACACACACTTATTTTGGGTACCAGGAATTGAACTCAGAGTACTTAATTACTGAGCCACATCCCCAGCCCTATTTTGTATTTTATTTAGAGACAGGGTCTCACTGAGTTGCTTAGTGCCTCACCATTGCTGAGGCTGGCTTTGAACTCACCATCCTCTTGCCTCAGCCTTCTGGACCACTGGGATTGCAGGTGTGAGCCACATAAAAAATGACAGTCAATAAAATTTCCTACTTGTAACTTTCATTTAACTATATAATTCCCTTCTCTCCTCAGGAAGGATACATTCATTTTCTTAGGTAGTCAGGTAGAATGTATTCTGCTATAGTGGAACAAAATCAATTTTATTTGGCTAACCCACAGTAAAATTTATGTTTTCTGTGTATTTTACTATTGGAATTAAAATTTAAAACTGAGCCACATCTCCAGCACTTTCTATTTTTTTATTTTGAGACAGGGTCTCTCTAAGTTGCTTAGTGCATTGTTAAATTGATGAGGCTGGCTTTGAACTTGAGATCCTCCTGCATTAGCCTCCCCAGCCTAGCCATTGGGATTTCAGGCATGCACCATGGCACCTGGCCATACAGTATTAATGAATAAAAATTTAGTCTATTTTAGTTCTACTTATAGTTACTTTCATAATTCTAAATTATGCTTATATCTGTATCTTTTTAAAATGCTTTTTTATTAGAAAAAAATTAGCACTATTTATTTATTTATTTTTGCTGTGCTGAGGATTGAACACAGGGCCTTGCTCATGCTAGGCAAGCACTCTATCACTGAGTCACATTCTAGCTCAAGTTAGCACTTTTATTGTTGAAAACTTAGAAGACTAATGTCAGAATTACATTTATATCATAAATGTAATATATGTAATGTACCTAGAACACTTATAACTGTATCTTGTATACAATGAGCACTATAAAATTATTATGTATGATCATTATTCAGATAACAAAAGTAACTTGCTAAAATGTACTTTTAATATTTTGATGTATATTTATTCCATATTTCTGTTTGTATATTCTCACATATTTTACATAAATAAAAATTGATATAGTATACATATTTTCTTAAAACTTGATTCTTTTCCTCTTCATCCATCCTCATATTTATTGAAAATTTTAACATTCATTCACTCATTTTATTGGATACACAGGATTCCATGATATTAGTACATTAATTTATTTACTTAATCCTCTACTGATATATATTTTCCTGTTTCCAAGTAGTATTACTATATATTTTTCATTATTAAAGATCTCTCACTCCCTGTCATTACTAAGGATCAAGGAGAAGAAAAACTGGTCTCTATGTAACCTGGTTAGATGCTTAGCTCTGGATTCAGTAATTTAAGACATATCAGTAACACACTCAGGATTGTGCCCAAGACTAACAAGCCTGCATTGTAGTTGGAGTCAGTTCACAGGTGTCAGTTTTTGTTTTTTAACATCTATATCATAACAATTTTTAGAGGGGGGTAGGAGAGGAAATTTCATGACCATCATCAGGAAACCACAGATAAAAATAGGTCTTAAAAATATTTCTAAATGATAGACATTAAGAGTCTGTTCTGCATGAAATGAAGGTCCTAGCATGCCTACTCACAAATGTTCCAGAAATGCTTTTGATTATTCTAAACGTGCTTTTGGTGAAGGTAGTTTACTACCTCGGCTTAAAGGTTAACCTGATCATTGTGAATTAATATTGCTGTAAGTTGAGGAACAGCAAGATATTTATACCATCAGGTTATATTGTTTAATTAATTATACATATATCTAAAAGATGCTGTAAGTATACTCAGTGTAAGCCTAAAGTATGCTGATTATTTCCACATCAGGCTGGGCAAGGAGAGTAGGTATTTATTTGAGGATAGCAGCTTGTTTCATACGCTCATTCATTTTTATTTATTTATTTATTTATTTATTTATTTGTTTTTTGGTGCTTGGGGATTTGAACCCACGGCCTCATGCATGCCAGGCAAGCTCTTTACCACTGAGCCACATCCCCAGCCCTTGTTTCATATTTTGAGGATGGTAACATGAAGATAAGGTAATAGAAGACATATTTGTCAAGTTTCAGGTAAAATAAAGTAAGGAATGAGCAAGCAACAGATTTGACAAAATTGGGGATATCAGGAAAAAATATGAGATAAATATAAAATACTGCTTTTATATTAAAAATATATTCACTCAAATATTAATTAAATACTTAAGTCAGGATTCTCAATAGGAACTATACAAAGGTTGTTCAATTATAAAATTATTTTTTAGGGTTGTCATTGTTTAGCTCTCTGAGGTCATTAATATGAGCAAATATACTTCATATATATCAAACTTATCGGGGTATACTTTGTTTTTTCTTTTTCTTTTTGTGGTACTTGTGGTCTAATCCAGGGTCTCTACCATTCCTTTTTAAATTTTTATTTTGAGACAGGATCTTGCAAAATTGCCCAGGCTGGTCTCAAACTTGTGATCCTCCTGCTTCAGCCTCCCAAATAGCTGAGATTACACAATGCACCACCATGCCCAGCTCTGGGATTCTTCTTGTAAAATATAAACAAAGAAAAGTGGAAGTAATATGTATTCATTAAAGAAAAGTGAGGAGACCAAAACATTTTCCATAATTTTACCAGTCCTCCAATTAAAAAGCATGAAATATGTGATCAGAATGCAACAGAGTCTTAGCAGACAACAACAACAAAAAAATCACTTAAGAAATTGGGCATATTTAGCTTGGAGAGAAGACAATCCAATTATCCTTCAAAAGTGTGAGAGTTAACCTGGGGAACATTAGATATTTAGCATCATCCCAGACTATGGCTGACAAACTCAAATGAGCCCGGGGCCAAGAAGAGTATATATTCAAGACCAGCAAGACAGGCATAGGGCAACAGAGTCAGGAAGGGACAATGCAGAACTAAAAAGCAAAAACATAGACAACTAAATGATCCACCTAAATAGACAACTCTAATCCAACTCCAGCTAAGGGAGAAAACTAACTCAGAATTGCTGGAGTATTCATTTTTTGGGGGGGTGGGGAGTACTGGGGATTAAACTCAGAGGTACTCAACCCTGAGCCATATCCCCAGCTCTATTTTGTATTTTATTTAGAGACAGGGTCTCACTGAATTGCTTAGTGCCTTGCCGTTGCTGAGGCTGCCTTTGAACTCATGATCCTCTTCCTTCAACCTCCCCAGCTGCTGGGTATGCACCCGGTGCCCCACAAGTGTCCATTTTAAAAGAAAAGCTAGAGGGAATGTAGCTCAGGAGTTTTGTACTTGCTTAGCATGCACAAGGCTCTGGGTTCTATCCCCAGCATTCACATACTTGTGTGTGCATACAAACACACACACACACAAGCTAGAAATTTAGATATTTTAGTAATTGTCAACTCATAAATGTTGACAATTAACTTAAAACCAAAAATTAATAGAGTATATGCCAACCTCCCCTACCAGAAAATGGTTGAATATGTGGGAATCCTCTATAGGCATAAGGTAGATTTTCCAACCTCTGTTCTAGGGAATAGAATTTAAGAGCAAAGTAAAGGTACAGAATACAGCTGCCTTTGGGAGGTTGTGGGTTCCAACTGAACTCAAAGAACCAAACTGGGCTGAATGGCCTTGGATGAGTCTCCTAAGACATTTCCACCTCTATAACCATTAGTTATTTCAGAAAGCTTTTTCCTTATCAGCATCAGACATGAATATGCTAAAAAGAACTCATTTTGAAAGCATCTAAATGCAAATAGAGAAAAGTATTTGTTATCTAAATATGCATTATTTATTATTGGGGGAAAATGGTTTGAACAGTAGGAAAATGGTCAGGTAAACCATGGTATTTTATAAAACATGCAACCCATTAAATATATCTACAAAAACCATGTAGAAAGGGACTTGGGAGCTGGGTGCAATGATAAGCACCTATAATCCCAGCAACTCAAGAGGATGGACGCTCAAGGCCAGCCTTGGCTCAAATAAAAAATAAAAAGGGCTAGGGACATAGCTCAGTGGTGGGGCTTCAATTCCCAGTATAACACACACACACACACACGCACACACACACGGATATGGGAAAACCTGTAGTTCTTATAGATCCTCTTTTTTCCTGTGAGAGGTTATATAATTATAGTATTTACAAAGGCATTGGGCGGGGCGGCTGGGGTTGTAGCTCAGCAGTAGAGCACTTGCGTAGCACATTTGAGGCACTGGGTTCAATCCCCAGCACCACATAAAAATAAATAAACAAAATAAAGGTATCATGTCCACCTACAACTAAAAATATTTTTTTAAAAAAGCACTGAGGAAAATAATGGAATGCATGGTACCCAATGTAAATACTGCTTGTTTGTGAAGGATAGGACTTTGGAGAAAGCAGGCTTACTGTACTTTCTCATGTTCCATTGCTAATACTCACTGAAAACATCACACAGATAGCATTTGTGAAGATGGGAGATGATGGTAATATTACAAACTGTTCATTTTTTTTTTGTTCTCCACTATGAGAATAGTCACTATGAAAAGAGATCCTTCCAACACATACAAGACAGAATCTTAAAATGTTTGTATACCCAGCTCTGCAAGACTCAGCCATTCTTTGGTACTCTGTTGAATATGTGCTTTTATAAGATGTATTCAGTGACTGGGTTTTAAAACCAACTTCAAATAATCCAACTAGCAATACATTTCTAGCCATTTTGTCTTACTCTAACCAACAAAAAATTATTTTAATGCTGTAAGAGAATCACACCCAGCTCACATGGAATGGTATGATGTTTTGTAGCAACCCACACATACTTAATAACAATTATATATAGGTATGTTTTGCTTTAGAGACTGTTACCAAGAATTATGTCATTGCAGAGGAAATAATCTAAATGCATTGAGTTGACTATGATTATCAAGTTATTCTGAAATACAAATTATCCTCTAAGATAACTGCTGGTTTGTGTTCAAATCTTTCACTTTGGACTCTCTGAGTAAGTTATGCTTGTATTCATAAGTATCCCTGAATATTAAGAACAGTTAGAATTTGAAATAGTTGACTTTTTATTTTTTGTCCCCTCTCAAAACTCTCTATTTTGATAACCACCATCAAGTTCATTAAAAGTGTGAAATGAACAAGGAAAATCACTCACTTGGAAAGTAATCCATCAGGTCCTGAAGGTTTTACAAGGTACTTATCCACTTGTTTGTTAAATAAGTAATATGGTAACTGTAATCGCTTGGTGACGTTATAGAGGTTTAAGGCATACAGAGTTAAATCTCCTTCTTTATACCTTGGGCTAAAAGCAAATAGGTTAATTTAATAAAAATATTTATCTAATTTAAGCAATTAAGAACTTGATTACAAATATGATCATGGTACTAAGTATCAGCATCCATAATGATGATGGGACTATTAGCATCTTCTTTTTATAGTAATTAGACCTCACATGTGGTCCTATTCTGAAAACATAATTAAAAATATTGCTCTTAGGAGCTGGTGGAGTAGCATGTGTGAGGCATTGGGTTTGGTCCCTTGGACAGAACAAAAACAGAAAAAAATATTGCTCTTTATACTACAATTTTTGGAGCCAGACCTCTAAAATCTTTACTAATTTGTCAGTCTAAGTTGTTGGAAAGCCAGATAGACCACCCATTTTTAAGTATAAGAAGGCTAAATGATAAAAAAGTAAATTTCATGAGTTCATATGAATTCAAATTACAAACTATAAAAATAGCATCTCTTTCTATCTCTATGAAAAGAATGAAATAAACAGGAAACATGGACTCATTTCAGAATTCATCCATTCAAACCATTCCCTTACTACTTCCTAGTGGGGCCTCTACCCTCCATAGTATTTTCAGTCACAGAAAATGGAAATGGCAGGTGGATTTTTTTTGCTAGAATTAGTATTAAAGTACCTTTCTATCAGGATGATAGATTGAAACTGAGAAGAGAAAATCCCTGGGATTTAGGAATATTGTTTGCTACCTAAAGCCATACTGCAGGACTAAAAGAGTCTCTCTAGGGCCTCTCAACTCTAGAAACTATGGCGGCAACTTTTGAAGTTAAGATTGTTGTTTTTATTGTTCCCTTTCTTTTGATTATTTTTCTTCTTTTTCCTTTGTGTTTCTTAGGTATGATAGGAGATAAATACATTAAAATTGTTTATTCATATTAATTCTCACTTATATTTATACTCATAGTTCTTTAATGAATTAATTTATTAATTCATTCATTAATGCTTACACAAAAGTATTTATATTTTCTTATATTTTTACTATCCTTATATATTAAAACTTGTTATATTTCCATTATAGATTATGACAATTAAAATCATTATCTAATTTTTTATTGACTGTAAATGCCTACATTTAAGCAATTTTTTGAAATTAGATTATGATATCATATCACCATGAATGTAAAAAAAAAAACAAAGAATGAAAAGGACCAATGACACAGCTTAGACCCTCTGTGTAGACAGATAGCAACAGGGTGTTAGTATAGGATGTTATGTGCTTATGGATTAAATCTCGTAGTTTGGCTAACAGCATGCTTCACACTTACTGGTTGGCGTTTGTGCAGTGAAGGTACACTCGAACTTTACTTCTGTCTGGGCCTTTCACACTTGCCATGAACACACTGGTGCCAACCAATTTTTTGAACAGGAGAGACAGCCAATAATCCTAGTTGTGGTGGTTAGGGAGGGCAGGGACAAAAATAGAACGTTACTTATTTTATTAACAAAACTAGTGGCAAGCAAATAGCTATCTTACAAAGAGTAGGACTGTTATCCTGCATAGATGTAAGTAGGATTATTTCTTTCCTCCCTTCCTCCCATGTGATCCTCCCCTTCCTTCTATATGATCACCTTGAATCTGAGGGAAATACGTTATTTGCAGCTTTGTGTCTCTAGAGGACTTCCAAAATTCAGAGAGTCATAGCCACAGGAAGACATATTTCAAGAATGCAATCAATTGCTCAGGAAGTTTAAATATTCTTGGTTGCTTTTCATCCAAGAATTCAAGGTAAAGCTCAAACCAGAACTTTTTTCGGGACAGTAGGGTAGACTGGGGATTGAATTCAGGGGTGCTTTACCATTTAGCTATATCCTCAGTCCTTTTAATTTTTTATTTCAAGACAAGGTCTAGCAAAGTTACTGAGACTGGCCTCAAACTTGTAATCTTCCTGCTTCAGCCTCTCAAATTGTTGGGATTACCGGTGTGTACCACCACACTCAGCTTAAACCAGAAATTTAAGACATACACATCTACAAATACACACATACACAAAGATGATTTTTTGAAATAAAACTTCTAAGACAAAAATAATTTCCTTTAAAACTTGATAACTCTCCTAATAAAACAATGTGTTAAGCAATAATCATTATCTATCAAGATCAAAAGAAGAGAGAAACATTAAGTACTTCCAGACAGAAGAACATGACATCATCTGTGAGGAATTCTTACTCCCTCAAAACAGAGCTTGAATAAGTTCCTGTTTCTAGGTATAGCTAACAGTTTACAGGAAATGGGAGCAACAAACATGCTAAATGATATGACAGGAATAAATTTATTAAAATCCAGAATGTGGGAAACACTTTTAAAATAACCCACCTGGTTTCTTTAATTGATAAATTACATGGACAAAAGAGAGAGAAGAGAACTAAAATTGAACAAACATAGAGACATATCAACCAAATGCATTATGCAGATCTTGTTTGGATTCTGGTTTGAATAATAAACTATTAGTAATATTTTAGACAATAAGGAAAATGTGAAACACTGATTAAATAGAACTATTCAAATAACTCAAGAATTTTTCTTAGAAAACAGAAATCCTCAAATCCATTTTAGATGATAGAAATCAAAGTCATACTTCTCAGGGTTACATTTCTGTTACCCTAATTTATGTATATAAATATGTACATATATAAATATGTACATATAAATTAGGATAACAGATGTATAAGATGTATATAAATAAAAACTAGGATAATATGTATGTATATAAATTAGGTAAATATACATCTATATAAATTAGCACTATATATATATATATATATATATATATATATATATATATATATCTTATAGGTGGCACTTTGGATAAACAAAGCTATATTTCCTCACTTGGCAACAGATACAGTTAGAGATAGGATGAAAATTAGACTTCATTCATAAATATCTTGAAGCTGATTAACAAATATTCAATTCTTAGAGTAAGTTTTTTAAAAGAAATATATGGCATTGGCTCATTTTAAAGCTAAATAAAATATGATTTCATGATATAAAAATTTTGTGAAGCTTTGGGCACTATAGAAATTTTAACTTTGATTTGTTTTACAAACTTTTTTTTTGGGGGGGAGGGCAGTGCTGGGGTTTGAACCCATGGTCTTTTACATGCATGGCAAGCGCTCTACTACTGATCTACAACCCGAGTCTTGCAAAACAATTTTAGATAAAAGTTTGTTATCTTGTGAGATGAGTCATAAAAATTTCAAATGACCCTTTTTAAAAAGCATATCCAGGGCCTGTGGTTGTGGCTCAGTGGTAAGAATGCTTGCCTAGCATATACAAGGTACTGGGTTTGACCCTCAGTACCACATAAAAATAAATAAATAAAATAAAGGTATTGTGTTCCCCTGCAACTAAAAAAAAAAAAAAAAGCAAATCCTTGGCCAGGTGTGGTGATACACACCTATACTCTCAGCAACTTGGGAAACTGAGGCAGGAGGATCACAAGTTCAAGGCCAGTCTCTGCAACTTAGTGAGGCCCTGTCTCAAAATAAAAAATAAAAAGGACTGGGGCTGTGGCTCAGTGGTTGAGCACCCCTGGATTCAATCCCTAGTACTGAAGGGGAAAAAAAAAGTGTATCTACTCTATGCTTCAAATGGCTTGATTAAAAAGAGTTAATTCTGGTTCCTGATTTCTTCTCTAGTCACACTAGGTTCCTTTCAACTCATCATCCCACGATTTGACTATTTATTATGAGGACTGTCTATAAATATAAGGGGTTAGTATTGTTCAACAAATTAAGAAGGGCTCTGAGCATACTTTTATCTTCTCATAAAAGTAGAAAAATAATGGTCACTTACAGGCAAAGGTTCGAAGTTTTCATCTACTAGGTGGTAGTTTCCAGCTCCAAAGAGAACCTGCCTCATCACCACTTCTATGCCCATCTGGGCTGACAGGCCTAGTTTATCCAGCCACCTGGGGCAGAGAAACATTCAGCTTTGTTTAGGTTTGAAAACAAAATCCCTCAATTCTAGCTACACACAATCATGATTTATTATTTGTCTATTTGGGATGAATTAATGGGAACTTAGATGAGTGGCATTAATTATACAGAAGCCATTCCAATGAAATGAACTGTGTGCAGCAGCACATCCTCCCTCACATCTCCCTACACCAGCAAGATGACACATTCTTGAAGGCCACTAACTTGCCAGGAATCCCTTTCAGGGCAAGGCAACTTCTACAAAGCAGAGTAGACAAATTCCCATCCCAAGAGACAATTCCTCATCCTGTGCCTGACCCCTATATACACACTGTGAGAGGGCTGAAGAAAAGGCTGTAGCCAGCAGAAATAAAGATAGGACATCTCCTGTCATACCCTGTCTGTACTCCCACCATCTACATACACCCCAAGTCTTTCATTAATGGTAAAACCAATGCCTCTGTTCTTCTCTCTATTCTTATATTATATCATAAGATTAGAACCATGAAGAAAGAAGTAGGTGGGGAGAGGTAGGACAGGAGAGAAAAGAGAAAAAATCTCTATGAGGACACAGAACTATAGATACGCATACCCAGGAAGTTACATACTGAATGTAAATACACCATGGTTTAAAGCAATCACGTTTCTGGTGTTGGCTAATGAGGTGATTCAGTAAATCTTTAACTTCACTGGTAGCCCTGTGCTGTGACCTTATATTTTAGACTCTAAACTACTTGGGAATCTATAATACAGCTAGATACTCTAAGCATGCTTCTCAGAGCCAGCACTCCCGATGCATTGTTTTACAGGGAGCGTTTTTACATGAAGGATTCCTGTGACATCTTTCTAGGCCACAATTAAGGAATATAAGGTCTAAAACCATTCATTCTTTTAATGATTAATTTGGGACATTTGTTAAAGAGGTCCAACAAGCTTTAACAAGTGATTTTCTTGCACCATCTGGCACAAATTTTGGTGCTTCATCCACAAAAACTGTCTTTGTTCTGGTTTTGGCTGACATTAACAGGATGGAGAATGGCTGCAATCCGATCCCTGAGGCCAGTGCAGTTTTACTCACATAAAGCCAGCTGCGAAGGTGTTGGACAGCAAGGGTGCGCCTCCCCCATACGCAGAGCTCGTTTCTCCTAACCAGACCTTCTTGCTAGGCCTGGTCTCCTTAACCACCTATGGGAACAGGAGAGTCTCCATGGTAATTGCAGACAAACTGACCAACTGTGGTGTTGAAGAGTAACAGCATCCAAAACCTTGTATTTCCAGACCCATCTGTCCTACACAGTTACAAAATAGTTCACGGTCATTTAGGTCTTAAACAATTTTCTTTTATTGGAATACTAGGGTATGGAAGGAATATAAATATTCAGTATTATAGTCTATGGTAGTTAATTATACTTAAGACTATTGGAAGTGTTTTTTAAATTTGTTCTTTATAGTTATAGTATTTTTCATTTTTAATAAATATAAATGAGTAAGATCCAATGCTGGGGAAGAAACCAAAGGCTGAATAAAACAGTGCTTATTCTCCAAAATTAGAAAAGAAAACATGTGAATATATATATACCTATGAAATTTAGAACTAACTAGACTACAAAAGAAGACCTCTGGTTTTATATAAAAAACTTAAAAAGACTATTACCTGGAAAATTTTTTGCACGGATAAAATAAAAGTGTCCAGCACATCAGGGTTTAGAAAATCTTCTTCGGTAGCAATGCGTCCATTCAAATAGTAGCTAAATTATTCAGAAAATATTCAAAGAAAAATAACAAACTTTACCTTCTGCTCTAAGTCAATTGCCAACCTTGTTCTCCTTCCTATCTTGCTCATCCCCATTGTTAAAAATTTTTTTTTAAAGGCAGAGATGCTATAAAGGAAGGACCAAGATGAAAAGGGAACAAGAGGAAGAGACCAGTCTATCAAAAAACTAGAAATCAGTTCCTTTGTCTTAAAAGGATACAGTCACAAGTACAGGTACTTCTGGGTTTCCTGGTTTTTGGCAAGCAATTGGTTTTAGCTACTTTTATATTGTATGTGTTAGTTGACAGTATACCTTGATCTTTAAAGATACCACATTATTTAAAATAACATTACATTTTTGTTTTATTCGTCTTAAAATTCTAGTACAGTGCTTGAGATACTATTTGTTTCTTATCTGAACTATAAAGCTAGTTAGCAGTTAAGTGGAGATAATTTTTTTGAAAACTGGCAGTAAGTAAAAGTAGCATTATTTTCCTAGTATTAAGAATAGAAGATATACTTACTGATGCCACGTAACCGAATCAATCACTTCTCCACCAGCCTTCAGGAAACTAGAACAAAAATTCTATTATGCTCTTACTTCCTCATATAGATGTACAATGTTTACATAGGGGTTTTATTCCCTAGAAATGGCTTGTTATGATGTTAGATTCAGACAAACACAAAAACTACCTAATTCTGACAACAAATTTTTTCATAGGTGCCAACTAGGTGCCAGAATTCTTGGTATTCTAAGCCAATATTTCCTCTTTTAATAAACCATGTGGGCAGGCAGCAAATTGTGTAATAACAGGTGGTCTGCTGGGGATTATCCACAGAAGATTTTTTGTGTGGGGAAGTGAGAGATATCAGGGATTGAACCCAGGGGCCCTTAAAAACTGAGCCACATCCCCAACCTTTTTTATGTTTTGAGACAGGATCTCTCTAAGTTGCTTAGGGCCTTACTAAGTTGCTGAGGCTGGCTTTGAACTTGTGATCCTCCTGCCTCAGCCTCCTGAGCTGTGGGGATTACAGGCATGTGCCACCACACCTGGCTATTGTTAAGAAAAGTGGTTCTGCATTCTCTAGGTCTTACCTCCTTAGCATTTTAACTGTGTTTCCTCGAGGCTGACCCACATCAGGACCATAGAGTTTTGCATTTTTGAAAGTGGAATTTCTAAGAAGTTTGTGCAGCTCAATAAAATCTTCTCCTAACTGTAATCCATCAATGTAAATCCCAGACTTCTTCCAGAAACTGTTAGGTTCTGAAAGACAGCAATTGTCAAACTAATCACCTATCTAGACATTTTTCCTAACTTTAAAAGCTAGAATTTGCTTTAAAAGCAAAAACACAGCAGCACATAAATTCAATAAACATTTTCTAAATTGCAAAAACTTACAATTCAAAGTGAAGAAAAGTAAAATCACAGTTATAAAAAAGATTTTTTTCCATAAAAATAAAATGTTAATTGCATAAATGAAGTATGAGGAGGGTATTGAACAACTTGAAGTTAATAATATTAAACCAATGAATATTTGGAAAATAGTCTGTATCCACTATTAAATAAGAAGGAAGAGGAAGAGTAGGAGGAAAATTTGAGGCAGAGAGAAAAGAGATCAAATGCTTAGCACAATGCCTACCATGGAGCATGTGCTCACTATGTTACATTTCATTTTCCATTTTATAATCAGTTTCATTGGGTAATGCATAGAAAAGTACTATATTTTGAAAAAAAAAGAACTAATCATTAACACTTTAGTTGAAATTTATAAGTTCCTTGCAAAAGAGTGAAGAAGGAGCCATTCAGGAGCTTGATATAGGTAATATTTTATGCTGGCAACTTTTAGTCATCTTGAGCAAGTAATAAAAATTGGGACAGGGTTGCTGAGATTAACTGACAAATGGAAAAACAGAGAAAGGAGGGGCAGGGGGAGTGAAAACAAATGGCCTACTTCTCAGTTTTGCTGAGTCCAGCCTGCCAAGCATAATAGGTCTAATAGACTCTGAAAATCTCAAGGGAACCTGGAGCTGGGAAGGTTGCTGTCTTTAATAGTTTGCCTCACCTCAAATATAGCATAAACTGGGACTAGTAATGTATTCTGGAATATATAAGACTTTTCTCCCATATATAGCTTCAAAAGTTGCATTGCCCACCCCTAACCCCCATACTGGAAATTGACCACAGTGGTGTACTAACACTGAGCTACTGAGCTACATCTCTTGCACTTTTTATTTTTTATTTTGAGACAGGATCTCACTAAGTTGCCCAGGCTGGCCTCAAACTTGCGATCCTCCTGCCTCAGCCTCTCAAATAGCTGGAATTATAGATATGCATCATTGTGCCCAGCTCCCAAAAGTTGCATTGTTGAAAACCTGCAAGAATGTGCTAATATTCAAAAGAATGTTATAAATAGGAACAAATAATGCCAAAGGGGAATCTCCTTATTAAAAGTTTCCAGGGGTACTCACCATTGCCTAGTTCCCAAGAAATGTTGTAATTCTTGGAAGAGCAGTAGTTCAGGAGCAACTGAGCATTAGAACTATTCCACCGCAAATCTGCTGTTCTTAGTAATGCATTTAGACCAAAGATCAAGTTCAGTCCTGAGCAATTTGCAAAACTATACAGCATATCCACTGAGCTTCCTAAAAGAAAAATATTATGGTTTAATGGTTAGATCAGCAACATAATGAAGAATACCTCCAGATCTGATCTTCTTAATGAGTATTATTTGTTATCATATTAAAGGAATTCCATTACCAATAAATGACTATAATTTTGTCTATGTTACAACAAAATTGGACAGGAAAATTGAAAAAAAAAATCTTACTTCATTTGCTTCAGCTGTTGGAAGTCCTTGGAAGATACAAGAAGTTCTGCTCTGGCAGTAAGGTTTTGCTCAAGTGACAGCAGGTGAATTGGGGACACCACAATTTATGACTCAATGTTCAATGCTCAGTGTACACAGGCTGGACCATTATCAGTTAGTATAAACCCCTTTTTCATAATCTGAACATCTCTACTCAAACTGAATACAAAATATTTGGGTACTTTAATTATATTTAAAACATTTTTTAAATTCCTGGATGACTTATTAATTTAAAATAAGTACAGTTTTACATTAAAAAATGGCCTAGGGCTATAGGGCTATGGTTTTCAAATTATATGTCAAGATGCCCTAAAGAGTCATAGCAAATCCATGGGTATGCTTCTAAGATGCAGCAAATAAAAGTACAGGACACATAGTTTAGTTTTGATCTTCGATGAGTAATAAACAATTTTCATTACATGACCCATGTAATAGATAAAAATAATTCATGTTAAAAAAGAAAAAGAATTATTGTTACTTTTCCAAAATTCAAATCTAACCAGGCTATTCTATTCACAGGGGAACTGCAGAATCTCTAAGCTTACAAGGGGAAAACATCAACATAACAAAACATAATAAAAGTTATTAATATTAGGTTGTTTTGAACTAGCAATTGAATAATCAAAACTTAGGTATACTGCTGAGCACAGTAATACATGCACAAAATTCTAACTTCTCAGGAGACTGAGGCAAGAGGTTAACAAGTTCGAAACCAGCCTGGGCAACTTAGATTCTGTCTCAAGAACAAAAAAAGGGGATTGAGGATATAGTTCAATGGTAGAACATTTGCCTGACATGTGCAAGGGTATTCTCTGTGGCTTAGGTATGCTGTTAAAAAATTAGAGTCATAAACGCCATAAGTTTGTGATTTTCTGTATTCTGCTTTTTTTTTTTTTTACCCATTAGCTAGTTTATAAATCACCTTTTGAGAGTGGCAACAATTATGATATGTATAAGTCCTTGGGATTTTCATGTATACTTCAAGTCATTTGTTATACAGCAATTCACTTTTGAACCCCCTAGTTAAAAAATCTTTTATGTATTTGGCAAATTTATATCCTTTCTCTTTAAAATGGGCACTGTGTTTGTTTTGTTTCTAAGTCTTTGGCCTGAATTATTTGGATAACTACAACAGTGAAATCCTAGATTCAAAATACTGCTGATAAAGGCTGCTGAGCAGGAACAACTCTGCAAGCTATGTCACCTTTCTATCACTGTGGAAAACAGTGGAGAAAACACATCCTAAAGGAGGAAATGCTTATTTTGGCTCAGATTCAGGGGTTTCAATCTGTAGTGAAGCAGAACATTGTGGTAGGTGTGGCAGAGCAAAGGTGCCAGAAGGGAGGGAGAGAGAGGACAAAGGAAGAGAGAAGAGAGAAGAGAGAGAAGAGAGAAGAGAGAAGAGAGAGAAGAGAGAGAAGAGAGAGAAGAGAGAGAAGAGAGAGAGAGAGAGAGAGAGAGAGAGAGAGAGAGAGAGAGAAAGAGTGAGAGGCAGCGGAGGGAGAAGAGGAAGAGACCAAGGGCAAGATGCACTCTTCAAAGGTCCACCTTAGTGACCCCAAGTTCAACAAGGCCCTACCTTCTAAAGCTTACACCACCTCTCAGCCCCAACAGCTGGGGTCAAGCCTTCAACACATGAGACTTTGGGAGGTATTCCAGATCACAGTATTAATAGGTGTTGTGATATTTGCTGTGTTGCCCACTTCCACAGAACTGTGGTGCCAGACATTAGGGTTTGAGACGCTCTTGTGTCCTGCAGCACAATGCTTTACTAGATCTTAGGGTCATAGTTTAAGACAACATGAAACTTGGAATTACTGAACCTACTACAAACCTTCATTCTCATTTTTCTAGGAGGAAACCAAGATTCAAACAAGGTAAATTCGTTGTTCAATGTCAAAGAGACTATTTATTATAGAAGGGTGACTCAAATGTCTTACTTATATTGTGTGGGGCTGGGGATATAGCTCAGTTGGTAGAGTGCTTGCCTCGCATGAACAAGGCTCTGGGTTCAAACCCAGCCCCACAATAAATAAATAATAAAAATCATGTTGTAGAAAGTGCCCTGGATCCGTGCTATCATTTGAATCTTAAATGTATCTCAAAGGCTCCTCTGTTAAAGACTTGGTCTCCAGGGTGGTGCTATTAGGAGATGGGACCAAGTAGAAGGTCTTTAGGTCATTGGGTGCATTCTCTTTATAAAGGGCTAAGGAAAATATTAAGAGATCTTCCTGGTTCTTGTACCTACCATGAAAATCTAAAGAATGCAGACTTCTTGATGAGTTTGACTCACTCAGAGGAACTCAGAGACATTCACTTATTTCAAGGCAAACACTCCTTCCCTTCTGGGATCTGGCCAGCCCTTGGGGAGATGAAGTGCAGATCATGCATGCCCTTATAAAGGAGATTTCTTCATTCAAGGAGATTTCTTCATTCTAACTTGTATTTAAAAAGCCCCACTTGGAATAAGACTTCAGGCCAACTATTACTATAGTTGGGGCTATGTAAAACTGCTCTGGGGTTCTCCAGCTACATGACTTCAAGTGTTGGTGTTTCCCCAATATGATGATATATTTTCTTCTCTTTCTCTCTTACCTTTCATGTTATTGCTAAAATAAATGCTATCTTGCATAAAGAGAGTGTCTTTATTAATTATTAGATCTGACCTGCCAAATTTGGGAGCTGCAAACACACATAACACTTTAACATTACATCTTAAAGGGAGCTGTGAGACCCCAGTCTCTTCCTCTTTCTCTTTTTTACTTCCTGGCCATGAGGTAAACAATTTTGTTCTATCACAAATTCCTTGACATTGCCATAGGCACCGCCACCAGAAACCTGAAAGCAATGTGTCCACCTAATCAGGGACTGGAGCCTTGAGTCAAAATAAAGCTTTCCTCTTTATAAGTTAGTTTTCTCAGGTATTTTTTACAGGAATTGCAAGACCTAAGACCCAGGTCCAGCTCTCCCACCTATAGACTATAGTATGATTGGGGCAATATCTTTATCCTACAGAACCTCTTGCTGTGGATTGACAGTCCTGGAACAAGCACCATCTCATGCCTGCCCAATAAAACCAAGGTTGAAGAAACACATGTGAAAATTGTTCTTAAATTGTAAAATACCCTTACAGGTATAAAGTACACTATTGCCTAGCCTCCAAAGATTATGGCATTTCAAAAAGCCTGAACTTCTTGCATTTTAGAGAATTTATCCAATTCCTACTCTATCCTCTCACTATTTCTTCATTCTTCTAAATGAACTTGGAATTTAGGTGGTGTGAAATTCTATTATACATCTCCCTATAACATAATGAACAGTTACATATTCTAGATCAAAGTCTATATTTCTGGATTCAAATTCATTCTTCAAATAAAAAGGAAAAAGAAAAAACACCCAGCTCACTTCCTCCCCCAAACAGAAAATACGGTAAGAAAACTCACAACTAATTATCTTATTATCAATTATTTTCTAAACTCTTATCTCTTACTATATGGGAGAGTGGAAAAATCCCTGGGATGAAGATAACCTAAAAGACACTTTAAAAAAAAAATTGAACTGACACTTTCCCTTGCAGTGTACCACATAAGTTCACAGGAAGGTGTCTAACATCCAGCATGGGAGGAGGCGTTGGGGTGGAGGAGTGGAGTGATGAGGAAGAGAGGCGGAGAAAAAGGAAAGCAATGCATGAGACTATAAGTATGATGAGTGTAATAATTTTTTCTGTAGTCACACCTAGAATTACATCTGTAATGCTGCTGCTTTTTCCTGCCCAAACAGGTTTCCAGTGTGAGTCTATATTATATCATAATGTTTTCAACATCTTCTACTTATATAGAACACACAATCTGAGACCACCTGTGTTAGAAAACTTACCTGTATCTTCTAGGACATCTATCTTAGGATGTAGGCCACTAACCAAACAATTAACACACCCTTGCCACAACATACTGGCACTATCCCTTCTATTGCATGATGTCCCTCAAGCCACTAACCATTCCCAATCCAAGCCATGGATCCAGAACAATGTGTGGAAACACTTATTGGCTTCTAAGATATTTGTCATTATAATGAGTAGCTGCCCAGATTAAACATGGTAGGTTTCTATCTATGTTTCCATGACATGAAGACTAAAATTGAGAATTTCAAAAAGAGGTCAAATATTTCTCAATGCAAATGGAATATCTGTATTGGTTATCCATTTTAGTATTGCCAGCATGATGGCTGGAGTTATGCTAACCCAGTTGCATAGTTAGCAAAGGAAGTATATTCAGTTGCTGTAGGAACTATAAAGGTCCAAGTACCAAGGCAGGTAAAGATGTTAGATACCTAACACCTTGATAAGAATAAGATCATGGGAGTGAAGGAAGCTTTTTTAGTAAAATGTTTAATATGACTCCCCTGCAATTGGGAATCCAAATTACCTAATACCATGGGATCTTCTTCTAGCAGGCTTATATCATGATTTATTTCAAATGATACCTTACCAAGAGGATTGCAAGTTCAAGACCAGCCTTAGTGAGGTCCTAAGCAACTTAGTGAGACCCTGTCTTAAAGTAAAAAATAAAAAGGGCTGGGAATGTATCTCAGTAGTCAAGTGCCTCTGGATTCAATCCCCAGTATTCCCCCTAAACAAACAAACAACAACAAAAAAAGAGAACTTACTATTGTAGATTTCTGGTAGTTTATTATTCCTTTAATGGTACCCGAGATAGCTCTGCTTTGTGTTGAATTCAACAACAAATCATGCTTATTAAAATTTCAGAGTAGTTTCCCCTCCTCTTAAGAACACACAAAAATGTTTAGAGAACACTAGCTATTAGCACATAAGCTATTTTCTGAGATGTGTGTGTGTGTGTGTATGTGTGTATTTAAATGTAGTACACAGTAAATCTGACAAACATAAATAATCTATTTTAAGTAAGGTACAGGCATACCTTGAAGATATTGAGCATTTGGTTCTGGATTACTGCAATAAAGCAAATATCACAATAAAGTGAGTCACACACATTTTTGGGGTCTCCCAGTACATATAGAAGTTATGTGTATGCTATACTGTAGTCTATTAAGTGTGCAATAGCATTAAAATGTACATACTTTAATTAAAAATGCTTTAATTTGGGACTGGGGTTGTAGCTCAGTAGTGGAGTGCTTGCCTAGCACATGTGAGGCACTGGGTTCGATCCTCAGCACCACATTAAAAAAAAAAAAAGAATAAAATAGAGGTATGATGTTCATCTACAACTAAAAATATTCTAAAAAATAATTTATTGTTAAAAATGCTAATGACCATCTGAGCCAACAGCAAGTCCTTTTTGCAGGTGGAGGATTTACATTGATGTTGATGGCTGCTAACTGGTCAGGGCGGTGGTTGCTGAAAGCTGGGGTGGTTGTGACAATTCCTTAAACTAAAACAAAATGAAGGCTGCCACATCGATTAACTCTTCTTTACATAAAACATTTATCTGAGGCACACAGCGTTGTTTGATAACATTTTCCCCAGGGAGGACCCTCTTTCAGGATTGAAGTCAATCCTCTCTCACCTTGCTGATTTCATGTGTGTGTTACTAGAAGTTAAACCCAGGAGCTCTCAACCACAGAGCTACATTCCTGCCCCTTTTTATATTTTTATTTTTGAGAAAGGGTCTCAATTAGTTGCTGAGGCTGATCTTGAACTTATGATCCTCCTGCCTCAGCCTCCCAAATTGCTGGAGTTACCAGTATGTGCCACCAGCCACCTTACCTGGCTCCTGCTGCCTTTTTAATCAAGTTAATGTAATATTCTAAATCCTTTGTTCAACACAATGTTAACAGCATCATCTTTAGTAAGATTAAGATTCCATCTTAAGAAATCACGTTCTTTTGCTCATAAGAAATAATTCTTTATTTGTTGAAGTTTTATTATGAGATCACAGAAATCACATCACATTTCCTGACTCTACTTCTAATTCTTTTCACCACATTGGCAGTTACTTCCTCCACTGAAATCTTGAACCCCTCAAAGTCATCCATGAAGTTTGAAATAGACTTCTTTCAAACTCCTATTATGTTGCTATTTTGACTTCCTTCCATGAATCATGAATATTCTTAATGGTATCTTGAATGGATGTTATATTAGCAAGCATGAAAACATTAATCTCATTATGTATACATCCACATCACAGCTCTTGACCAGGTGAAGTCTGTCACATAATTGATTCTTTCTTGCATGAAAAATTTATTTGAGACACACAATGTTGTTTGATAGCACTATGAGTGACCAGGTGCATTGTCAATGAGCCATAATATTTTAGGAGAAATCTCTTTTTTTGTGTGTGTGGCTCTGGGGATTGAACCCATAGGTGCTATACTACTGAGATACATCCTCAGCCCTTCTTTATGATTTATTTTAAGACAGAGTCTTGCAAAGTTGCCTAGGCTTGCCTTGAACATGTGATTCTCCTGCCTAAGCCCCTCAAATAGCTGGGATTATAGGTGTGCACTATCACACTCAGTAAGACAAATCCTTTTTTCTTGAGCAATAGGTCAAGCAATAGCACTTATGTTGAGCTATTTCACTTATAGAGCATAAGCAAGATAGATTTAGTATAATTCTTCAGGGGCCTAGGATTTTGTGAAATAGTGAATGAGCCTTGGCTTCGCCTTAAAGTCACTTTTTGTATCACTCTCCTTCAAGAGAGCCACGCTCCTCTGAAGTTTTGAAGCCAAGCATTGACTTTTCCTCTCTAGCTATGAAAGTCCTAGATGACTATTTTCTTTAAGTATAGAGGGCTCTTTTGTCTACAATGAAAACCTGAGGTTTAGCAAAGCCACCTTCATCAATGATCTTATGTAGGTATTCTGGATAACTTGCTGAAGCTTCTATCAGCATTTACTGATCATTGTGCACTTTAATGCTATGGAGATGCTTCTTTCCTTGAATCTCATGAATTAATTTCTGCTAGATTCAATTTTTTTTTTGTCTGCAGCTCCCTCAGTCCTCTCAGCCTTCACAAAACTGAAGAGAATTCAGGCTGGATTAGGCTTTGGCACAAGGGACTGTTATGGCTGGTTTGATCTACCCACACTGCTAAACTATCCATTTCTTCATATCAGCAATAAAGGTATTTTGCTTTCTTATCATTTGTGTGTGCACTGTAATAGAACTTTCAATTTCCAACAGTAAGTTTTCCATTGCATTCAGAATTTGGCTGCTTTCAGCCTAGCTCAGCTTTGACCTTTCTCACTAAGCTTGATCATTTCTAGTTTTTGGTTTAAAGTAGGAGATGCATGGCTTTATTTTCACTTGAACATTTAGAGGATTCTGTAAAGTTATTAATTGGCCTAATTTAAACATAGTTGTGTTTCAGAGAATAGGGAGGCCTGAGCTGAGGGAGAGAGATGGGGGAACAGCAAGTCAGCAGAACAGTCAAAACATACACAACACTTATCAATTAACTTTGCTATCTTAAATGGGTATGGTTTTTGGCACCCTAAAACAATTAAAATACTAACATCACTGATCACAGATCACCATAGCAAGAATAATAAAGCTTTAAAACATTTCAAGTTTACCAAAATGTGATACAGAGATATTAAATCAGCATGTGCTATTGAAAAAATGATGCCAATAGACTTGTTTGATGCAGGATTGTCACAAACCTTCACTTTTTTTTTAAAGTTAACATTTGTGGAGGGCAATAAAATATGACTATGATTTTAAGAAATGCTAACTAACCAAATAAAGTTATGATAATATATATTTTTAAAAGCCAAAAGAAGACAGTTTAGAGTATCTGAGCACATGATTATCTTAATTGAGATTTAGAGTGACATCAGAAAACATCAATTTCAGATAAAAATACATTGCATAGTTAAAGATAGCTTGTTTCATTTGCTTTAAAGTCCTATGTGGTAATGTTGTCCTCTTTTGAAGACTAAAAAAAAAGTGTTTCAATGAATGGAAATAAATTCCTGCTTAGATGAGAAAATAGCTTAGTGGCCAACACTGGTACAAGCCAGGATTGCCTGCCTAATGATGTATATCACCTCTTCCCATGGACTGAATCTCCCTTATCTGAAATGCCTGGGACCAAGTGTTTCAAATTTTAGAGTTTTCTGGATTTTGGAATATTCGCATAGGCTTTACCAGTTGAGAATGCTTAATATGATTGATATTCAAAAATTTTTGGATTTTGGAGGAGTTTGAAGTCTGCATTTTCAGATTAGAGATTGTCAATCTATAGGAGTTACTTCTGGGAAGGGAAACAGATGAACAAGTTGTGAATGATTTTCACATTTTACATGAGGAATATATCCATGTCTTCCTGTCTCCTTAGTTCTTTTTTTTTTTTTGAGGGGGTAGGGGGATTGAACTTGGGGGCACTTGACCACTGAGTCACATCCCCAGCCCTATTTTGTATTTTATTTAGAGACAGAGTCTCACTGAGTTGCTTAGTGCCTCACTTTTGCTGAGGCTGCCTTTGAATTTGTGATCCTCCTGCCTCAGACTCCCAAGCCACTGGGATTACATGAGTGTGCACTGTGCCTATCTCCCTAGCTCTTGAGAGCAGTAAAAGTCATTCATTATTAGTTCATGAATCTTTGATTTCTAAACCTCACTCTGTGGCTAGTAGGCAAAGTCAGATAAAAAGGAAAAAGCCAGAAATAAAGTTTTGGGTTCAAGATTTCCCATTAACTCTTCCTTTTTCTTTTTGGTGCTGGTTATTGAAACTGGGGCCTTATACACATTAAGTGTGTGCTTTACCACTGAGCTACACTCCCAGCCCCAGCCCCTCCCATGAACTCTTGATAGCATTTAAATATTGTATAGCTTTCACAACTGTTGTGGGGCTTACTAGACTCAAACCCAAATTTAACCTAACCAAATACTTTTGTGGCCAGTACACCTGCCGGGAGACTTTTGTTCCTTACTTGAGTAGGTGCTGCTCTTGAACTTTTTCTGATATTGTTCTCTGAGTAGCAGCTGCTCCTGGAAGGGCCATTCCAACTGTAACCTTTTCTCCACATCAGAAAGGAGCAATCCAGATTTGCAAATATCTGTGGGTGGAAAAGAGAATTAGAGAATGTGTGTTTGTTGTCATAAGGTTGAAATCCTACACACGTTTAGTTAGCTATTACATGACTAAAGCAGCATAATTAAGTTTCAGGTTATTGGGTAAGAGATCAGAGAACAATATGTGCCAAATTTGCCAGCTTACCACCCACCACAAAAAAAAAAAAAAAAAAAACCTCGAAGAAGAATGTTCCTAAGAAACACTGGACATACACTGGTCATAGAACACTGGATATGGCTTCAAGTTATTTAAATAATTCAAAAGGTAGCTCAGAAGTGTGAAATTACCAGGGGACCCTAACAGAAAACCTAGTTCAGTTCTGTTAAGGTTCACTTTAAAATATATAGTAGACATTTATTATACATGGCCTCTATCTACTTCATAGTGATTTCTTCTTGCTATAATGAAGACAGGCCTGGCCAGGCGCGGTGTCTCATGCCTGTAATCCCAGCAGCTCAGGAGGCTGAGGCAGGAGGATCAGGAATTCAAAGCCAGCTTCAGAAAAATCCACATGCTAGGCAACTCAGTAAGATCCTGTCTCTAAATAAAATGCAAAATAGAGCTGGAGATGTGGCTCAGTGGTTGAGTGCCCCTGAATTCAATCTCTGGTACCCACCCACCCCCCACCAAAAAATGAAGATAGAGATTATTGATTTTCCCCCCCTCTACATTTGATACCATCCAAGCTTCTGGGACCACAACCCATGTACTTGGAAAACCTTGCTACTAGGCTGGGGACCCTGTGTTTCTTTATCACAAGGCAGCAGGGCCTCTGGGTGCTTGCTGCCAGGGCGTTTGACTGGCCAACCACTTCCTTTCTGGGAACCTGCACATTGTGACTTGCTGGCAACTGGGCCTCCTCTATCCCTGCACTCATAAAGGATGTTTCAGAGGAACTGGGATAATCCCAGTGACAACCCTCCCCCCAAGATAAAAAAAAAAAACTGGTGACAAAAGGACAGTTTCCTGCCTAAAAAGGTTTAGAGCTTTTGAAGGCATGTGACTGCTAGAAAGGGCCAAATCCAAAGGATTCTAAAACTCATTATTCAAAGAGAACCCCCTGCCTTTCTTCTATTTTTTTCTAATTACCACTCACTTAATTTTGGTCCAATGTCCAATTAAATGTTCTAACTACTTCCTAGCTGAAGAAAATAAACAAAAGGAAAATACGTAATACATAAAATAATTAAATATTACTCATTAATATCGGTATTAGATACACATTATCATAATTTGTTGATGTATATGATATATTTATCAATTGCTCAGATAGCGATTTAACTTCCATTTGACATCTAGTGGCACTTCTGAAAGACCCAGGACAATCCTCAACACTCCTTTGGGCAGGTTTCTCAGGTGATGCCACATACTTCTTTTTTTTTTAACTTATTTATTTATTTTAATTAGGTATTTATGACAGCAGAATGCATTTTGATTCATTGTACACAATTGCAGCACAACTTTACATTTCTATGGTTGTAAATGATGTAGTGTTGCACTGTATGTACAGTAGCCACACACTTCTAATATCAGAATCACTTAACTAGTTCGCTAAACTCAGACTCTAAGGCTGGAGCCCAGAGATCCAAATATTCAGATTCATAGCAAGTGATATGAACAGCCAATAATGGTTGAGAACCATTGCCCAGGAAATCAAGTTTTTTGAAACCCATTTGTAGAAGCAGAGTGTATCTCTATGCCCCTTGTTAGATCTTCCTTCCACATTCTATTTCCAGAATAAATGTGCTAAATTTAAAAAAATCTATTGCTGTGTGGATATATTCAGCTGGAAATATCCTCTTCAGTTGTCACCTTTTTGCCCATGTGCTCCCTCCAAGCAGCCCTGTCCTTTGGCTACAACCACTGTCCTATTAATAGCACAACTCCTTCTCAGTTATGCTCAGCAAACCTTGTCTGTAAGATTCCACAGTCATGAAAAGATCAGATGAGGAAACCTGTCCATAGCTTGCTCCTGTCATTTAGGCACTTCCACAGATCAGTTGGGGTCCTTAATCTCTTGTGAATTTATGTGAGGAATTACACTTTTCTCCCAGTATTCTCATGACAGACACAAGTTAATTAAAATATAGAATCTTTAAAAAGTTTCACCCTGGTTGACTTCAGATTGCCAGTAACTTCTTTCTTCAAAGGTTGGTTCCTTCTTGGGATCAAAAATTAGGAAGTCTGTCTTTGTGCCACCAAATCTCAAGTATGCAGGAGACAAACCTCTGGCCAAAGTACGAAGCTTTGGAGAACTGTTATGAAGACAAGCAAGAAAGTATAATTATTTTTTCCAAGACAACCTAGTCAAATGTTTTTACTTCATTTTCTTTTGAAAGACTTATTTCCTGACTTCTAACTTGGTAACTTGCCTCAGGGATAGAGAGCAGTGGATACATTTAGGACATATTTATACATAGAAATTATAAGTTTAGTTATTAATTCAATGTTGAGGAGGAGGCAAGGGTTTATCTTGGGAAATGAGTTGGAAGATGGTAATATCATTTGTTGAGATAAAAAATTGGTAATAGATTGGTGATAAGGATGAAGGAGAAAACAGAGAGAAGGTTTAGTTTTGTAGAATTTGAGATGATGAAGTAACACAAAAAATCTTATTTCCATCTAGCCCTTGACCAAGTGTGTCTGGAATTCAAGCGACACATCTAGGCTAGGGATATAGATTGGGGAGTATAAAGATCAGTGACTAGTAACCCCTAGTGCACAGGTCCCAAGACATAGCCTTAAAACCAATGTGAGGAATCTCCTCTGAGAGAGTCACTCAAGACTGACACCATTACTGCCTTTAGCTAGGCATTGGCTCTAGCTCTTGGTATTGTGATTATTTGGTGATAGAAAAACTCATTTAGATTCATGTAGCTAATATCTGTAAGCAATTGAGATTTTACAAGAGATTGGTCCTCTTTGGGAAATGGAAGGAAAAACTAGCATCTGGGAAAGGAGCCCAGGCATTGAAAGATAGTCTGGGTCAGATACCTAAATGCCAGAGCTGGTGCACAGAGGTTCGAACTATATCACCTTGGGGAGCTCTTCGCTACATCTCCCTGCCTTATTTCCTTCACAGCATTCACCACTCTCAAATCAGCCTCATGTATTTCCTTGGTTTCCTATCTAGCCCAGCCTCACTTCTGATGCAAGCTCCCTGACAGCAGAGGACCTTGTTTGTCTGGTTTATCAGACTTTCTCCAGTACTTAGACAAATGTCTGGCACACAGCTGCTACTCAATAAATATGTGGTAAGTGAAAGAACAAGGGAGGCTAGTCTGATGAAAGAGGAAGGAGGCCAAACAAAGATTATATTCTGAACAAAATGAAATTAAAACCCAATGCTTTGGCTGTTGCTACATAAAGGGAATCACATGTTTCAAAGTTTTGGTATTAAGTCTCCTTTGCACTGGAATATTTCCATGTTTTGAGAATACAATATTGATGCCTTCTGACAAAAAACATATTTAATACAGCTGCAGAACTTTTCCATAAAAACAAAATTGATCAAAGGTACAGTATTTCAATCATATGTAGAAAAAAGGAAAGGGAAAAATAGCTACTACTACAATGATATGGAAATAATGAAAGAATATATAAAAGCAGCTGCAGCTATTTCGTTTCCAGAGCAGTTTGTTAGGGGGAAAACCCAAGAGTCTGCAGTTGTTTTTATTTTAGCTTTTGTGCAAATATAAGTTATATATCTTTGACACAAAGAGCAGAGATAGTTGATTAATATGCACCAAACATTAAGCAATATTTTTCCATTTCCAGATTTAGGGGCCACACTGTAGATTCCAAAGAGAGAAAATATAGTTGGAACAAGTCAGATTTGGGAGTTTTATCAGGAAGAACAATGGCACAGGATTTGAGATTACTATCACAAGAGGAGTTTGGGTGATAAATCAAGAAGGACTATGCCAGGTGCTGTGGTGCATGCCTGTAATCCCAGACACTGGGGAGGCTGAAGCAGGAGCCAGTTACTTAGTGAGGCCCTAAGCAACTTAGTGAGAACCTGCCTCAAATAAAAAACAAACCAAAAAAAGTGCTGGGGATGTGATTCAGTGGTTAAGGCCCTGGGTTCTATCCCTGGTACACACACAAAAAGTGAAAAAGAAGCCCAAATCAGGGGCTGGGATTGTGGTTCAGCAGTAGAATGCTCGCCTCGCATGTGCAAGACCCTGGGTTCGATCTTCAGCACCACATAAAAATAAATAAATAAAATAAAGGTATTGTGTCCAACTACAACTAAAAAAATAAATAAATATTTAAAAAAGAAGCCCAAATCAAATATGGAAGAAGTAGAGAGAGGAGTAAATTGTTCAGTGGAGGTACTTTAAAAAAAAGAAAGAAAGAAAGAAAGAAAGAAAAAAAATTATGATGGGAACTTACTTTTACCATAGAATAAAGGGGCTGAGAGGATATGGAGCTGAGAACTCTGAATTGAAGTTTCTGGATGTTGGAAGATCACTAGTGATGAAGAGCATTGAGAATTTACAAGATGAAGTGGTGTGAAGCAGTGTGTGCTGCCAGGCCAGCTCTCAGGAAAGTGCCCTGATTTTCACTGTTTGCAGTTTTCACCATGATGTTTATACCACAGTGATGTAAAAATCCCCACCATTTCAAGACAGCAGTATGATGTCACTGAATGCAGAGTTGAGAAGAAATGAACTCATTTTGTGAGCTGGTGCAAGCTGCTTACCACACTGAATGAAGAGTATCAAATAATGTGTAGGGTGAAGAAATCAAGGGAGAAGTGTATTCAGATGGATTTAAAGGCATCCAGGATGATAACAGGACTTGATGTTAGAGAGGAAGCTGGGAGATCAGTGCCAGTCTTTAATCAATAAGGAGAAATAAGAGGGGAGCAGAGTGTAATGACAAGGAGCATTGCATGAGAACTAGAACCTCACACTGGTGTCATGACAAGCATCTCTACTATGTGTCAGCTTAGTCCAAGCTGAGTGTTTTAAGCATGTTGCATAGATTTTTTTTCACTTAGTCTCAAAATAACCCAATGAGGTGGGTGTCATTATTATCCTTATTTTGTAGATATAGAACCTGAACAAAAGGAAATGAAGTTAACTTGTCCAAGGGAGTAAGTCAAAAGGAATTTGAACTACAGCAGTCTGCGTTCAAACGAGTGGGCTGTTATCTAGAAGCTGTGTGGGGGAACAGGAAAAGGACTGGAGTGTGGGAGAACATGCAACCTGAATTCTAAAGGGTTACAGGGGAAGAGAATGTCTTCAGGGAAGTGCCATGTTTTTCGTTGGGCAAGGGGGTGGAGGGAATATTCTGAGGACAGAAAGGGGTCACTGTGCAAAGGAACACAGTAGAAAGGTTCAGGAAGGAGGGGAACACTAAGAGCTCACTCAGGGGACAGCGCTTCTCAGGGATCAGAATTGTCATTGTTCTTAGCTCTGTCTCTCTTTCCATAGTCATTTCCACCAGCAATTGGCACATGGAGGATCTGTGGCTCTTTATACATCAGTTATAAAAATGTGCATTTCACGGTGATAAGTATTTTTCCAAATATGAAAAAGCAACTTTGTTAATGATGTGGGAATCTAATTGTTTTTATTTTGATTTATTTTTTTGATACCAGTGATTAAATCTGGGAGTGCTTAACCACTGAGCCACATCCCCGCCCTTTTTTTATATTTTGTTTAGAAACAGGGTCTCACTGAGTTGCTTAGTGCCTTGCTAAGGTGCTGAGGGTGGCTTTGAACTCAGAATCCTCCTGTCTCAGCCTCTGGAGCCACTGGAATTACAGGTGTGGACAACAATGCCCGGCAGAAGTCTAATTATTGAAAGTTATTATTAATGAATATTTATTAAACTGGCAAAAAACAAAAAAGATGAACTTTGCTGAAGAAAAATAACAGATTACTATGACAAGCAAGCACACCTGCAATGTTCATATTATTCCTATTCAACAGCACTTTTGCTTTGTAATACTTATGATTTCTTATGAAGCACAGTACTCAGCTATGTATTGTTTTATCTTGCATGAGGGAATTATGCTTCTGCATGTGTCTTGACTCAAATGTAAGCACTCTCTAATACAGTAGCCACTTTACATATGTTAGCAGTCTAAATTGAGAAGTGCTGTAAGCATATAAAATGTAGATTTTGGAGATGTAGTTTGAGAAAAGAAATGTCAAATACCTCATTAATAATTTTATATCAATTACAGTTATGATGTTAAAAATAATCAAATAAATAACATAATTATTAAAATTAATTTCACCTGTTTCTTTTTACTTCATTTATTTTTGTCTTTTCCTTTTTTTTTTGAACTGGGGAATCAAACCCAAGGCATTTCATATGCGAGGCAAGTGTTTTACATCACAGCTATATCCCAGACCTCTTCTTACTTTTTAAAATATGACTACTAGAAAATTTAAAATTCCATAAATGCCTTGCAACACGAAGCTCACATGAGATTTCTATTCCACATACTATTTCTAGGGCCAGGTCCTTTTTGGAGTTCTGTGCCAAGTCAGGCTGAGAAAATATTCTGGTTTGTTGATTAATTGCCTCTGGGAGGAGAAATTACAACTACTGTTTTTCAATTCTAAATTGTTTCTATTATTAGCTTTTTGGTTTTATGTATTAGAACACAAATGAACCTGTTTGCCATGGTGGGAAGCCAGAACTGCAACATCTGATGAAATTTACTTATTTCTGCTTTCCAGGACCTTAGAGGTTTTTCAGTCTTGATTCCCCAGCATCTTTGTGTCAGTGCTTCTTTTCCATCTCTCAATTTGTTTCTAGACAATCTTTTTCTAACATGTTCTGTCCCATTTCCTTTAAAAAATAAAAATTGCTTTGCTTTCTTTTTGTGTACTGTTGTCTCTGTGATCAAGATCTACTTTCAAACTCTGCTTTTATTTGCTATCTGGCTGATCATGGCCAAATTATTTAATCTCCTCGAGTCAGAAATTCTTCACTCTTAAAATGGGAATGATAATCGTACTCATCTCATAGTGCTGCAGGAAAGACTAAATGAATTCAGATTAGGAAGGGCCTAGAACAGGGCCTGGGAAACTGACCAGCGCTCAGGAGGGGTCAGCTTTTTGTACTGTTCTCCTTCCTTACTGAGTTTTCAGCTGTTCAACTGTTGCCAGTCTTGTCCATGCATCTTTACTTTTAAGGAATTGGGATAAAATAACTTCCAGCTCACCCTTCTCTACAACTGTAAACAGACAATAAGTTTAGTGTCACCTTCTGAGATGACTGTCCGCCACCCCAGGCCCTATGCTAACCACCCTGGGGAGATTTAGCAGTGAAGATTGAGCTCAGAAGAAGGCGCTCCTACCTCTACTAATCAGCTGAGAACAGTGCATGCAGATGAGTAACCTGGAAAGAAGCTTGTATGGAGAGGAATTGTTTTATAAATGCGCACAAACACAACCCAAAATCAAAAGGTAAAACAAAACATAAAAACACCAAACCAGGTTGTTTCTTGGATTTTCTTTATCCTCTAGTCTCCAACAAAAAGGGATTGGGGTAAGAGGGAAGAAAGAGTGCTATGGGAAGCTAAGAGATGTGTTAAGAAGAGTAAAGGTATCACTCTTACTAAATTGTAACCTGGAAGTTCTGTGTTCTGGGTGGAAATGCTAGTTCACTGAGGTGAACTTGACTGCAGAGTGTTTGACCCTGGATCCTAAAAGTTATACCATAAGTTTTTTCTTTTGGACCTGTTTCTCCAAAGGGGATCCCTACCTGCCCATTCCTGGAGAGGGAGCATGGTATCTGCTAGCTGTGGCAGAAGAGGACTTCAGTCCTCACATTTAAGTAAATGGACACCTACTTCATCATGTTTTCAGTGAGCTCCCCCACCCCCCACCAGGCTTGGGGTCTTTAAATCCAGAGGCCTGTGTTCAGCATTTCTCCAGAGTATTCTTCCCATCCTCCATCCAGCTGCAGCCAGGTGTCAACTTTCTATCCTTAAGGGGAAGGGCAAAAAGCGGGGCCCCTCCTCCCCACAAAGGGGAAAAGAGACACAGAAAACTGCTGAATGGCTAAGCAAACACTATTTCCCAGGAAGAAACAAGGAACTTAAATACTCCAAGTCAAACATTGTGTCAATTACTTATCATATTATCAAATTTTCATAATAATTCTATGAGGCAGGCTCTAGAAAATCTATCCTACAGATAAAGAAGCAAAGACTTGGAGTGGCCAAGCTGCCCATAAAAACCGAGTCTCCTTGTTTTACACAGTTGGGAGTCAAGACAAGGTGTTCTGCCTGTCAATCTTTTAACCACTAACTAGACCACCTGTGAAATTAGCAATGGCCTAACAGTGTGGGCTCAGGAAGGGCAAGTCTAGGCCTTTGACAATGGTGAGATGATGGACTGGTCAAGATGTGGTCATCTCTGGAAGCTCCTATGGCCTAGATGACCTAGGACTGTCCTTGTAGCTGTTCATCTTGTGATCAGACTGAGGCAAAAGCAGTAAACCTGCAACAGGTGCATTTCCACAGGTGAGGAGGAAATAAACAAACAAACCATTCACAACTGTTAAAGCAGCACCACATTTTGCAGTTTCATTTTGGAGAGACATCCTTTTATTAGGGCTCTGAGTCGCTGCAGTAGTCTCCGAGGACTCACTTATCTAACATTTAAATTTTTAAAAAAATAAGTAACACATATTCTTCTCCTTTGAGGTCTTTTCCGTCTGATTTTTTTTAAAATTTATTTTTTTAAAAAACAAAATCTTCCTAACAGTTTTTAAAGGACCACAAAACCTGATCCACGAGCTTATTATTTATTTATTTATTTTTGGTATACTGCACAGAAAATTCAAACAGCCCTCCAGGGTCACTTGTCTCTGTCCCCTCCAGCTAGCGGGGGTGCTAAGGCAGGTGGGTAGTTTCTTTTCCAAAATTTTCCATAATACTTGTGCTTGGTTGGCGTTCAGCCAACACGTGCTGAATGAATGAAGTAAAAATGCGAAAGCTGTCTGCAACCGGCTGGAGAGGGTGTGTGTGTGTGTCGTGGGGGAGGGTGTTCTCAAGACCAAATGGAAAGTTGTTTCACCGCAGAAGAGAGGAGAGTGGCTGGCCCGACTGGCGGGTGTGTCGGGAGGCCAGGAGAGGGGACTGGACCAGGAGGCTGGCGCTTACCCCAGGAAGGTGAGGAACCGCGGGTCGGTGGCCAGGTTGGCGTCGATGGTGAAGGACAGGAACGCGGGACTCACCAGGTGCAGTGGCCGCTCAGTGGAGAAGTCCAGCTCCACGATGTCCTTGGCCTGCCAGGGTCCCGCCAGGGCGCCCTGGGAGAGAGGACCCAGCGGCCCCAGGAGCAGCAGGAGCAGCCCCTGCTCGGAGCGCAGCGGCATCTCGGGCTCACCTGGGTGCTCCACCCGCAAGCGGCTGCGCAGCGAGAGTCGACAGCTCGCCCACTTCCTCCCGCCTGGCCACCGCACCCTTTTCTTCTTTTCTCCACCGTCTCACGCCCTCCGCCCTCCCCCCTCCCACTGCGCCCTACATCCCTCCCACTCCTCCCCAGCATCCCTCCCACTGCTCCCTCTTCTCTCCGCCCTGCCTTCCCCGGTCACTCCCATTTCCTTGCAGGCTCTCCCCTCGGTGGCGGTCACGTCCACTTACGAAATCACCCACACTCATCCTGAAGGGTGCGCAGATGGCTAGGATCCAAGCGCCTAGATGGCTAGGAGGGAGCGCCCGGGAAGGAGTGCTGAGCATCTGGAGCTGAGCTCCCTCAGGGACAATATTCTGCGCCCTGTGGGGGAAACAGGGTCGTTTCCCTCTTCCAGGTCCCATCCAGATGGCGCTACTTCTTCTGAAGGAACCTTCAGTTGAGCATTCGTCATTTTCCCTCCCATTTGGTTTAAACACTGGTTTGTCACTTGAGCTTACCAAATAGGATTAACCCTGTGTTCTCGGGCCAGGAAGCTATTTCTCAGGTATCTTACTTTTTGCTTGAAAAACCTGACCAAGTTTGCTTTGGCTAAACTGTACCCAGAAAGAGATCAACTCTCAACAATTCTTTATCAACTTAGGTAAATAGTATTTAGTGAAGTCTTAGAGATCCACTAAATACTACTGCTACTAATAATAGTAATTATGGTTATTTATTATTAGTAGTATAATTATAGTTTCTTATTATTATTATTGGCTCAGAGATCTGAAACGGAGGAAAGACGCCCCCATGTGATTGTGATGTAATGACTACCCCTTGGATTTGGAGACTATGCCAAATTTCCCCTCTATGCATATATCTTTCGATTTTATCCAAACTTTCTTTAGTTTTCCTTTGATGTTTATGTTGATATATAATTATAGCAAGCAACAAGCATTTAGTACTTACTATATATATGCCTGATTGTGGGAGGGGTGCTTTACCTGTGTTACCTCTCATTCTCACAACCTTGCTAAAAGCACATTTTTTTTTTCTCATTTTACACATGAGGCCTCAAGCTCTGAGACAGCAACTTGTCCAAGCGTCAGAGCTGAGATGTGAATGTAGTTACACACCCTGGATGACAGCAGCCTATCTGCTGAAATGTGATGTCCTCAAGGAAGCTCTCTCTGAGTCTTCAGGCAGCTGGAGTCCCCCCATAATTCTTTCTGGTAGCATACTGAGCTTTTGAGAACCTACCAATTTGTTAGTACTGTGATTTTGCTCAGCATTGACCTCATCTACTGGGTTATAAACTCCTTGAAGGCAAAGTTAAGGATTGTCTTGTCTACTGTGCTAGCCACAGCCCCTGCATGGCACCCTGCTTGGCACTTTGTAAGCATCCAATAAATATCTATTGAGAAAACCCTTAGCAATAAATAAAAATGGGTTGTTTTGTAGTGTATATCAGATTTACATCAACCTATTTCTTAAGCAACTTTAAAGTTATGCATGGCTAATTTTGCATTCTGAATCAGGTTCATGTCCTACAATGACAGTGTACAAATGAAAAAATTCATATGTAATTACCAAGCTGTTCAGGGGGTGCAATTCTATGACAGCAGATGTGGAGTTGGAAAAGCAGACTAGGTTCTTTTTTCTACCTTTGTCATGACATTGATCCTACATTCCATTCAACATCCCTGCCTCTTGTTGTCATGGGGCACAAATCTTACCAATTTCTTTGGAATATTTGGGTTATTTGAAAAGTGGATCATTGCAAGTTTTCTATGTTTTCAGTATTCACTCATGACATTTTGAGATGTGGGTCAGTGTAATCCACATGCAAGTTACTGATTTCGTAACTGAGAAACATAAATAAGGAAGCAAAGAGAAGTAACATGCTCACATGATGATTAATTGGCTGAGATCAGAAGTTTCTGGCTCTTTGACTCTGCTAGGTTAGTTGGTTTGATCCACTATGCTGGGTAAGAAGTTTATATAGGCAAATAGGAGGGAAGAATATATGGGAATATTAGTAGAGAATTGTAATTTCAAAGATATTTTATAAGACAACTGTTATGATTTAGATATTTGGTATCCTCTAAAAACTCATGTGTGAAACAATGCAAGAAAATTTGGAGAAGGGGCTGGGGATGTGGCTCAAGCGGTATCGAGCTCGCCTGGCATGCGTGCAACCCGGGTTCGATCCTCAGCACCACATACAAACAAAGATGTTGTGTCCGCTGAAAACTAGAAATAAATATTAAAAATTTCTCTCTCTCTCTCTCTCTCTCTCTCTCTCTTAAAAAAAAAAAAGAAAATTTGGAGAAGTTGTGATTGGGTTATAGCCTTAACCTAATCAGTGAACTAATCCCTGATGGGATTAACTGAGTGGTAACTAGAGACAGGTGGGGTATGGCTGGAGGAAATGGTTCATTAGGAGTGTGGCTTTAGGGTACATATTTTGTATCTGGAGAGTGGGGTTGTTAGACCAGGACGCAAAGAAAAGACCACTGACTCCAATTAAAATCAAATTAAAGCAAGCTTATTATTTCCACCTGCCGGGCTGCCTCTCCCACCAAAAACCGCCGGAACAAGACAGCCCAGCATCTTTCTTGCAGCCCAGCTTTATAGCCCATAAAGTTACACAAAGGGGGATTGCAGATAACAAAACTCTGACGAGCATAACACAAAGGCTAGTTTACATTTTTGCTGGCCCTGACATCAGAATTTATGAAGGTCATTAGAGCCTCAGAGAGGGTCGTTATCTGGCCAGGGAAGGCCAAGATTTATGAGGCGTCATTAAAGTTTCAGAGAGGGCTGCTCTCTGGTCAGAGAGAGCCAAGCATGGGTGAGTTCAAGGCATAGGCAGGCATTATAAGCTAGTTCAGAATTTGCAGTAATTTATAGTAAAACTGAAATTATCTTTTCATGATTTTGTGGCAAGATGGCTCCCAATTTTAAGAGACAGCAACTTGTCCAAGCGTCAGAGCTGAGATGTGAATGTAGTTACACACCCTGGATGACAGCAGACTATCTGCTGAAATGTGATGTCCTCAAGGAAGCTCTCCCTGAGTCTTCAGGCAGCTGGAGTCCCCACATAATACTTTCTGGTAGCATACTGAGCTTTTGAGAACCTACCAATTTGTTAGTACTGTGATTTTGCTCAGCATTGACCTCATCTACTGGGTTATAAACTCCTTGAAGGCAAAGTTAAGGATTGTCTTGTCTACTGTGCTAGCCACAGTCCCAGGAACAAGGTCTGACAAACATCTTGTGATAAGTAGAAACTACCCCCTAGACAGTAACTTTCTTATGCTGTCAAGGCCCACCCGACCAATCCTGAGATAATGATAAAGCAGACTACACTTTGCCCAGATCATCTGCTATGGCATCTGTGAAAAGCCTCCAGATATGCAAATCCCCCAATCCTTCCCCTCATTCCTCTTTTTATAAAATCTCAAAGTCATTGAGGGCCCTCTAAGGCAGGGGTCCCCTTGTCTTCTGGATGTAGCTACGTGGATGAAAGTTCTTTTCATGTTTTTCCTTATTACCTTCTCTGTTTTTTTGGGGCAAGTAGCTGGACCTGATTTGTTGGATTCCCAGAGTCAGGCCTCCCTCTGTCCTACGACTCTAGTAACTATCCTTTCTATGTGGACTTTGGACTGATTTCCAGTAGTTTCATTAGGGTTTTGGTTTGGGGATTTGCCTGGTATGAATATAAACACTTATAAGACAATACATTGATTTCAGAGTGTTTTTAGAAAATATCAATCTTTTCAATTGTCTGTCTAGAAAATTAAGATTTTCCTAATGTAGAAATCTCTTCAGGGGCAAAACTTGTTTAGGCATTTGTGGTTACTTCCAAGCTCTGTAAATAGTTACATACTATGTTGTTCTAAGTTATTGGTTTGTGACTTACTAAAGCTAACTTTAAGTTTTAATTATTTGCTGATCAAACTATCCTCTAAAACAAACTAAAAGAAAATCTTTGCTAGATGCTGAAAGAAAGGAATTTAACATCTATTGAGTCCATCCTGTTCTTCAAAGTGTTTTCACATATTCATTTCTTTATCAATTCATTCAAATATTTATTTAGTGACTACCATGTACTAAGCACTGAGCTAAGCAACAGTAAGCACAAGCAGGAATGGTTCCTGTGCTCTGGAAGGCTCAGACTTCCCCTTCTACTAGGGAAATAGAAAGTATTTTTTAAAAGTCACACAGAAGCAAAATTGCAAGTGCAGTAGGTTCTCCAAAGATGGCGGTGCTTTACATATGTGTGATGGAGGATTTGCATCTGGGTGAGGGAAAGGGTTTCTGAGGGGGTAATACTTGAGTTGAGACCTGAAAGGTGAGTAGACAACTAGTCCAAGGTGGGGGAACTCGTTCAAGTCTTAGGAGAGGGTATGACTGAGAGAAGGCTGAGGCAGCTGGATTAGAGAGAGCAAGGGGTTGGTTGGGGACACAGGGACAAACACTGCAGAAACTTACAGTAGCCCTGGTGCAATGGGAAGCCATTGAAAGGGCTTCAAGCCTAGGGTAGGGGATGCTATATAGTTATCTTAGTATGTTTAAAAGGCAAACTATAGGGCTAGAGATATAACTTAGTGATTGAGTGCTTCCTAGCACATGTGAAGCCCTGGATTCTACCCATAGCACTGCAAAAAAAGCAAAAAGCCCCCCCCCCCCAAAAAAAAAGATAAACTGTAAATGTTTCCTCTTTGGGGTTGATGACTATTTATAGTACATGGATGTGCATTTTTCTATAGATACAGACAGAATTTCTAGTTTGTAATATGTGTATATGTATGAGTGTATATATGTATATATAATGTATGAGTATCACTATAAATATGTATACCATGCTATGCAATATGAAATATGTATTTCTGTATCGGTAGCCAGCTGGGCACTGGCACTGTGAGCCAGAAGATGTCAGGAAAAACAGGAAGTGTTCTTAGAATCATAAGAAAAAATGTGCTCCAGTGGCCACACATGATAACCAGGTAGATAATTTATGTAGTTTGGGAGGTTACTCAAAAGGCCCCTGAGAAAAGCTGGCTGCC